TACTTTAGTTGTAAATTAATTAACTATATATTTTTAGAATGGGTTCCATGCATGTAACGACTATTGACGTGAATTTTTTTGACAAAACTTTAAAAAGTAATGTTGCTGTTTTAGTTTTTGTCTCAGAAGGTGATTGTCAAAATAGATTCGTTTGTATAGCTACCGATCTCGAAACTTCATCAAATTTTAATGTAATATAGGAAACTCCTTATTATGACATAGTTAAAAATTAGCTTCCATCGGCATCATATGAAATATTAAAATATTTTTAAAAATCCAGCAGCGACCGGGTTGAAAGGTAAATCAGTGCAATTCGCTTAAAATGACATATAAAATTTCAAAGTTATCAAAACCACATGATTTCAAATTTATTCAGAAGCTAATCCATGAAAATTTCAAATCCAATTAGTTTTATCTAGAATTTCTAAGTAACGGTCGAGTTATAAATTTTTGAAGTCAAGACAGAAGCTGGAAAAATAGTGACTATACCCAGTGTAGTTTACTTTATGCAACATATAAAATTCCATCAACATCGGATTTACATGATTTTAAGTTCATTCAGTAGCTAACTTATGAGGCTATTGAACGCCACTGACTTTGTATAAAAATCCCAAGTAACAAAAGAGTTATGAAATTTTAAAAATGAGGCATAATCTGAATTTTTTGAAGAGACGGCAAAATTTTAAATCACTAACATATTTTTTGTAAATGGTGATTTGTAAATTTATTCCTATAATACATATTTACTTTCAAATATAATTTATTCATAAAAAGTATTTGTAGAATAAATCTACACACGACATTCATAGGAATCTAATTTAAAGAAAACGTAAACATTTCTTAATCAACTAAAGATATTAAATTACTGGCTTCTCCATGACATGTCGCATTATCTTTTACCATCATTCACGCCTCAAGAAAAAATCATTTAACATATAGGAAGAGAATTAACCCGTGAGTTTGAAACTCAATAGATATCATTGGTACATTTTGTTGTCAAATTAAAAATCTCAAAATATAGATCCATATAATCGCACGTAGATAGATTTCCGACAAAATCCAATTGCTATATCATTATCATAACACGTAGAGTCGGAGAATGATCAAATCAAAATGTTGTAGTACCGAAACACCGTACCCGGAGGTACCATTTCATTCAAACGTTTATCGAAAATCATAATTTGAAACGAAGTAAACATTTGCACTTCCACCTACCTTGAATTTTTTTGGATATCAAAAAACAAAATGTGTTGAAAGCCTTTTTTTTTTCTCACCCTTAACTTAAATTGACATGAAATATATATATATATTTAGAGAAAATAAGAAGAATTTTGGATTTGAGGAGGGGTGTAGCGAAAAGTGACCTTCCACTTCTTGTAACATTTCTTTTTAATGAAAAACTAAATGGGAGAGTTGTATTATCATTTAGTTTGTTAAATTAGGTCTTTAACTAAGAATTTAAAGAGTTTTTAAATCATAAAAAAAATAATTCATAAAAAGTTTTATAAAACATTTACATGGTGACTCAAACCTGGATTGCCTATATGAAATACCATGTAGATGACTATTGTGGCAATCCAGTTATTCATTAATTTTTTTAATCAAATTTACTTAAAACTTAATTTCTTAAATTGTTAGGCTTTTAATTAATTTATGACTTAGGCTTTCAAAATCTTAAATGAGTTGAACTTCCATAGCTCATTTCTTGAGAAAATTTCCTCTCTCGAAAAGGAAGAAGTTGATGACAACACATTATTAACTAGTCTATTAGAAAAGATATAGACGTTTCATCAAGAATGCTCTCCATGTGTGGATATAGATTGCTTTTATAGAAAAATCACTTAGTGGAATAATAGTAATAGTATGCTCCCTTCTCTTTGTGTGGTATTGAAAATATAAATTGTGCTCCCCTCTTATATATAGGGAAATAAGTCAAGAGAGTTGGTTTACACATTGATAAAATAGCTGAAGGACTGGTGATTTTAAGTAGAAACAGGTCAAATGAAGCCACGGTAAATGTTCAAGATCCAATTTTACACCTCCATATGGGACTATAATGGGAGTAATGCAATTTCAAAACCAAATGGCCAATATATTACTCCCCCTATCCCATTTATATTGGCAAACTTTCGTTATTTTCTTGTCCTGATTATATAGTTCTATTCCTTTATTGAGAATGTTTTGCTTTCTTTTTTTTTTTTATTAATATACCATTGTTTAATTTGTTTAGTTATAACCAAATTTTCACGCTTAATCTTGAAATTGTACAAATATATATAAGGGTAAACTAGGAAAGTTTTTGAAAAAAAAAAAAAAATTCTTTTTCAATAACATTAAATAAGATTTTTTAATCCGTGTGAAAAGCAAAACCAATCTATACGGAGGGAGCTTTGCACCATGAGGTGCAAAAAAGTTCTCGATCAAGAGCCAAATAGGGAAACTTCAAATTAAAAAAATGGAGGTCTTGTCCCTTAGCTTCTACTCTAATATTGAAACCTTGTATTATTAATTGGACTAACGTAGCCCGCGTTAAATGGTGGCATTTGGACATGGAAAAAAGAGTCATATTATTTAACACCGCTGGTGTTAATCACTGACTTATATGGTAACTGCATAACATTAAATAATAGAATAATATTATCTAGTATCATTGGAATTGAACACATGTTTAGGTGTTAATGTGTCATATGTTTCAATAAATGAGGGATAAATTCTTGTATTTAATTGAATTTATAATTTAATGACACAAGTGTTATCATCTATACTGGTGTCAAGCATCATTAGTGCTGAATAACATTCCTTTAAATGATATGTTCACTTAAATGCAATGTTTATATAATTCATTTAGAATGGTGTACAGTGCTTGATAGCATTATTTAAAAAAAAAAAAAACTACATTTTTTGTTTTTGTTTTTGTTTTTTATGCTATTTCCATAGTAAGTGTCCAACGTCATAAAACTAGTTAAAAACATTAGACTTCAAATTAATTGTAGTGAAAATCAAAATTTAGGATTTTTGTTAATTATAAAAAAATTGAGTTTAGGAATCTTAATTGAATTTTAGAGTTCATTAAACATAGGGGAAATGTTGTAACACTTATTATTTTTCTTTTCCTCTTTGCCAGGGGCGGAGCCAGGATCAAACCACAAGCTGGGTTAATACATAACAAGCTGAGCTAACATGTAAAAATAATATAAATTTACACGTAAATTTTTTTTTTACTCGAATTTTTTTCCCTAAAAAATATTAAGTGGGCTGGAGAGGGGACTAAGCTAGGCTCTTAGATCCGCCCCTACGCCATGAAGTGAAATTAATTATCATAGAATGAATGATATCTAATTCGTTTTTAGCTAATCCATCGACCATCACAGCACACTTGATTTTAGGGAACGAGGCAAAGAGATGAAAAGTTAGCGAAAGAGGTGGAAATTCTAAAGGAAAAACTTGGAGATACAGCAGTTGGAAAGGGAAGGCCGACTCTTCAGTGTTTTTAATATTAAAACCCAATTTGAGGGAAATTTTAATTCAAGTTAAAGTCAATATTTATTTTGGGCACCCTATTCCTCAACCAATGTTTTAAAAGGCGAAATGCATGAAGATGTGCGGAGGCCAAGCTACGAGTTAGACGAGTTTAGGCGAGACATCTATAATATATTAAAATATCATATCAAGGTAGAATAATTTTTTTGACGATTTTAACCCCCTACAATTCAATTATTTCAATAATATCTTACATTTTATTTTGTGATATGTAATAAATACTACATAATTATTGTTATTTATTAATTTTGTGTTATTAATTCTCAATTAATTAATATTCACATAACCTAGATTCAATGAATTTTTACTTGTTGAAAATCTTGAATTACATGAATCTAGAGTCATTATAGAAAATTTATTCACATTCATGTATCTAGAAATTTTAATGTAGGTTTAAATTTATGTATTAACAATTAATTTTTATGTATCAAATGTAATATAAAAAGATTGATCATTTATAGTATTTCATCATTACAAAAAAGTTGAATCATAGAAATTGAGTTTTGATATTACAATTTGAGTACAATTTTATTCTTTTAAATTTTTATGCTAAATTTTATTTTCTTTAATTCGTTTGAAACTTATCAAATCCTTCAACAAATTAGTACCAAATATTCTTTATATAAAATATTTTAAAATAACGTGCAATGTACGTTCAACCTTGACTAGTATGCATAAAAAAGTATAAAAAGACTTCTTTTATTTTAATCAATCAAAAAATCATTCAATAACTAAAAATAATACCTACCAAACATATAAAATAGATTTATAGGAACTTTATAAATTATTCCAAAATTTTCAACAAAATGACAAGTTTCAAATGTAAATACTAAATAGTAAATATATACGAATTTTTGAGAGTTTTCCTTTGTTCAAAGTTTCAAAAGGTTGTTTTGAATCTAGGGAAGACGAAGTGAATAAATCAGTCTTTAAATTTTAACATAAAAGAATTCTAAAAAAAAAAATTTAAAGAAAAGATAGGCATGTATCAATGGTCAACGATTGCCATTGACAATTAAATAAGGTGCTCTTTCCGCCATGCATCGCGCCTATGTAGTCGTGCCTTTTAGAACACTATTTTCAACATGATCAAAATTTTGGTGTATGTGAACTTATTGCCTCTTTGAGGTATATTTTTGAGAATAGATTTTGTGAAAAAATAATTTTTTTTAAGTATATGGATAAAAGTAGAAAAAAAAAAGTTATGAATTGATGTGCGACATAATTTTATTAATGGCTCGCTTGAGCCACATTATTTTCAAAAAAATACATTCTTCAACGATGATTTGATATCATTTCAATCACACGATTTTCAATAAAATAATATTACAAATAAATTTAAAACTTTTATTTATTTTTTAACTATATATTTTTTATTGATTTGCGACGAATAATACATTTTTTCTTTTGAATGTAGCTCAAACATGAGCTAAAAGAACTTATTGGTTGGACGATAAATCTGTTCACATCTTCGGGAGGGTGTCATAGGAAAATTGAAGGCTGAAATATTTTATAAAACTGAATTTCCCACAACGGAGAGAGAATTTCACAGGGTCCCGACTCTCTCTCTCTCTCTCTCTCCCTCTCCCCTTCCTTTCGAGCAGGTAAACATCAGAAACTGTTGTCTGAGTTATGCTCTGCTCCTATGTCATATTCTCTTCTTCATTTCGTAGATTCTTGCGAACCATTGTGACTGGTTTCTAAATTAGGGTTTGTAATTCGCTTCTATATTAGATTTTAGAGTTTTAGTCCTGCCTATCTTTTTTTATTTAATGGTAATGTATAGACGAACCTGTTGAAATTCTACACTTATCCTGTTAATTTTATTTTAAACCGTTTCACTGGGTAACTTTTTGAAATTTCGTTTTTTTTTCTCGTTGTGTCTTTTTACTTTTACTTTTTTGGGTTTAGGGATTCGATTCTCACCTTTACAATTTTGTGTGGACAAGCATATATGTGCCCATGAAAAGAATTAGGGATTCTGAGCTTCTATTTGATGGATGATTGTATATGAAGTCTGAGCTTGTTTTGGTCTGAAATTTGCAAACTGCTGCAGGTTTTTAACCAAGAAGTTGATGCAACTATTGCATTAGCTGTACTAAAACCAGAGCCCTACACTGGCGACACACAAAAAGTAGTGGAGGGAGAGGTTACTGTTTCGTTAGTAAAATTTTCACATAGCTGGACATTAGGTATTTGGTTCTTTAGTGTGAGACTTCAGTTTTTAACATATGCTGTATATTGTTTTTATTTGGTTCAACTTTATATTGTTTAGCTTACTTTTGTTTTCTCAATTGTTAACAACAGAGAATGAGGGTTATTGTGGCTAATGTTGAATTTATGTTTCCACCTAGAAGAAACGTATTATGTGACTCGAGTACGTGCATTTCACCACTTAGGCAGAATATCTATCTGGCAGTCTGTTGAATTTTCAAGTATTGGATGTTTCTTTGGTATATTTTCAAGTGTCTAGCCTTGCTTTTGGGTCATATCCTTTAATGAATCCCATTGATTCCGACCTCTCCCTCTTTTCTCCTTCCTCAAATCCTTTTCTTTTATTAGATCGAAAAAATGAATTGTGACTTATTGACTCTTTTGGCAGAAACTGAGTAGGTTTTCATTTTCTAAATGGCTCTATCTCAAGTTTCAGTTGCAGGATCTCAGTTAGTTCATTTTTTACTTCAATACTTAATACAACTTAGTATTAAATCCTAGGTGTTGACCTCTTTTATAATCAGTCAGTTGTTTTTTCTTTCATTTTCATGTTATTTAGGACCTATTTAACTGGGTTATGTTAACTTTGGGAACTATTTGCAATTTATTTGTTGGGTGTGATGGCAAATCTTCTTGAACTAACCTTTATGCTACTATGTGCTTCTTTAGTTCAATAGACCTTTGTTTGATAGGAATTAAAATCTAAATTTTAATCTAAGTCAAACTCAATAATTAATTTTAACCGCATATTTATGAACAAATTTTCAACCACACATTTCATCAACATTTTATCAAAATCTACTAAGAATTTAATTTTAATTCCCACCAACCAGGAGCTAGGTAATGTTTCCTTGAAGGTAGTTGGGGGTAACAAAGCCCTCAAAAAGAGTTGCTTTCTTTTTATGTATCTGCTAAGGATGCTATTCTAACAGCTGAATAAAAGCAGGATAATTTTGTGAGCTGGTACTTAATGTTTAAACAAGGGGATGTTGTAAACTACTTATACTAAAGTGCGGAATTGATTACTGAGTCATGGAACAGTTTTATTTTCTTGGAGTCTCTGTATACTGAGGATTTCCTTTTCTAATGCAATTTTGATTCTTAATGCATTGTAAGAACCTCTAGGCCATAGTCAAGGGACGGACTATCCAATTCATGGCCTTCTGCATGAACTTCAACATGTACATCTCTTAGTTTTCTAGTTGTGCTGATTACCTCTCTTTGCAGTGCTATCTTCATTTTATATATTTGTTACAATGCCTTTGGTTAACATTGGAATTAAAGCTTTTGTAACTTTCGTTAGTATCCTGAGTATGGAGCTGGTACTCACTTACTAATTATGGTATTGGGTTTGTGGCAGGTGTCAATATATCTAGGGGTCTCAAGAACAAGACTTCAACATGGTTGATCACCGTAAAAGCTCTATCCTGAAGTTAACGTGAGAATTACTAATACGGACCTTGCAACACAGTTAGACTGTCATTTATTTGGATTCCATCCAGAGTTTTGTCAGCATTACTTCTCTGGGTTTGATGTTTTGTGTTTTGTTGGGGAGGATGCTTTGCCTCCTCCATCTGCTTTCTTCGGAATAATGTGCCCTTTGGTATTGTCCCAGACATGCACAAGGATCAGAATGGTGCCAAAAGTTTACCAACTACTGCAGTAATTATCATTCTGCACTGGAACTTACTGAATGGTACTTTGGTATGTCTCCAGTTGTATGACCTGGTGGAATTGGATTAAAAGATATCTTTTTTGCTTCTCGTAGTGCTAAAGCACAAGGAAAAGACGTCGGTGTCCTGGATGCCGCTACATATCTCTATTTTCAACTATGATGATTGATTTGATATCTGTGTTTACCAGATCTCTTTGAGCTTATGTTGTTGGAAGGTGAAATAATCCTGGAATGTCTGTTTTTTGATAAGCCTCGTAGAGCACGTGAGAGTGGTAACCCGGATTATTACGGTGGGGGATGGCAATTGGCATGCGTCAAGGAAGCAAGTGATGAATGGATATGGAGGGTTGAAGAGATCCTACTATAGAGAGCCAGAACTCATGGAGAACTTCAGGTGGCACCTCTATGAATCTGGAATTGAATATTATACTTTTGCATTTGCTAGACTCGAAGTTAAGCGTGTCAATGGAAAGAAGAGTCGTAAAGGGAAATTAAGTAAGGATTCAGTTACTAATCTGCAAATGCAAATGGGAAAACTGGCGGCTGAATTTCCATCCCACAAGAAAAGCACTGGTAAGGGAAGGGTAATGTCCAATCTGAAGGAAGAAAATGGTAAGATTTATTTAGCTGCTAATGCAAAAATGCCTACTGTTGAGGGTTTCGATTCTTATATTCTCAACAGTTTGAATGGGAGCTATTTGACATGAGCATGCGTCTGGAAATAAGATACATTGTGAAGCGCATATCATTCTGTCTGTTATTTGCCCATTTCACTTGGCCCTCTGGCAACTGGCAAGTAGTTTAGTTGAAGTTTTTTTGTGCTTTCTGTCAGGAGGATCGAGCTCCTTATCGACCCCCCGGATCCTGAGGGAATTTTGTGAATAGTTCATGGTCATTTCAGTGTAGTGCGCCTCCGACTTGACTTGATCATTTTTGAACAGCTAGGGGGTCAAGAATGTTGAGCTATTCTTTCAGAGTCCGAGACTGTGAAAGCTATGGGAAATGCACTTTTTTCTGCTACTTTTGTGGGGAGAATTAGTCGAAGCCTGACAATGAAGACCCTATTCAGGGGTGGGCCCGGATTTTTTTGTGTTGTGAGGACAAAATTTAAAATATATTTTTTTAAAAAAATAATATAATTTTAATGAAAATAATTATATCATTGTAATCGGGAGAGAAGGAAAAATAATTTTGAGAGAAGGACAAATAATTTTCTCATTCTTCTCATTACAAGAGACGGTACGTACATACATATGTACACACACACACACACACACAACATGAATTCTATATTAGGAAAGATTCTAATTGAGGATTCATATAATTAAGGTAAAATATATTTTCTAATATATATATATTTATATATATATTCTATAACATTCCTCTCAAGTTGAAGCATAGATATTAATCATGTCCAACTTGTTACAAATATAATTTAGTCGAATATCATTTAATGCTTTTGTGAAAATATCTCTAATTTGTTTTCCAGTTTTCACATATTTTGTAGAGATTAAATTCTTCTGCACCTTTTCACGAACAAAATGACAGCTCATCTCAATATGTTTAGTTCATTCATGGAATACATGAATAGAAGCAATATAAAGAGTAGCGTGATTATCTCACTACAACTTTGTTGGTATTGAAATTTTAAGGTCAATTTCAGTTTAGAGCTAATATATCCACACTATCTTACTAACAGATTGTGCCATAACTTTGTATTCTGATTTAGTACTAGATCGGCACACAACGTTTTGCTTCTTACTTTTCCACGAGACCAAATTTCCTTTAACAAAGGCACAATAGTCTGTAGTGGATCTTCAGTCAATTTTGGAACTTGCTCAATCTGCATCTGAGAAGCATTTGATGTGGGTATGTCTATGATTTCTGTATAGTATTTCATGTCTAGGAGCTTTCTTTAAATAATACAAAATCTGTTCTAAAGATGCCCAATGGTGGATTACTGGAGAAGACATGAATTGACTTACAATATTGACAGAATACGCAATATCAGGACGAGTTACCGTAGTATAGTTCAATTTCTCAACCGGTCTTCTATATTTCTCAGGATCTTCAAATAGGTCACCATCTTTGGTAAGTTGCAAATTAGGAAACAATGGAACGCTACTTACTTGGCTTAGCTCCACATGAATAGAAGCAATATAAAGAGTAGCGTGATTATCTCACTACAACTTTGTTGGTATTGAAATTTTAAGGTCAATTTCAGTTAAGAGCTAATATATCCACACTATCTTACTCACAGATTGTGCCATAACTTTGTATTCTGATTTAGTACTAGATCGGCACACAACATTTTGCTTCTTACTTTTCCACGAGACCAAATTTCCTTTAACAAAGGCACAATAGTCTGTAGTGGATCTTCAGTCAATTTTGGAACTTGCTCAATCTGCATCTGAGAAGCATTTGATGTGGGTATGTCTATGATTTCTGTATAGTATTTCATGTCTAGGAGCTTTCTTTAAATAATACAAAATCTGTTCTAAAGATGCCCAATGGTGGATTACTGGAGAAGACATGAATTGACTTACAATATTGACAGAATACGCAATATCAGGACGAGTTACCGTAGTATAGTTCAATTTCTCAACCGGTCTTCTATATTTCTCAGGATCTTCAAATAGGTCACCATCTTTGGTAAGTTGCAAATTAGGAAACAATGGAACGCTACTTACTTGGCTTAGCTCCCAATTTTCTTGTCTCAGATAATAAGTCTAGTACATATTTTTTCTGAGATAAAAGGAGACTTTTCTTGCTTCTTGTCACCTCAATTACCAAGAAACACTTCAACACCTCTAAGTCTTTCGTGTGAAATTGAGTGTGAAGAAAGGACTTCAGAGATGAAATTTCCATAGTATCACTGCCAGTAATAACAATATCATCAACATACACAACAACAATAATAATGCTGAATTTAGATTGTTTGTAGAAGACTGAGTGGTCGAACTTGGTTCTTTTGTATTCCAAATTTTTTCATTGCCTGACTGAATTTTCGAAACCATGCACGTTGGACTTTGTTTCAAACCAAATAAGGACCTTCGAAGATGACACACTTTCCCATACTTCTCCTGAGTAACAGACCCGATGGTTGCTCCATATAAACTTCCTCTTGGAGATCACTATGTAAGAAAGCGTTTTTTTATGTCTAATTGATATAAGGGCTAATTATGTGTAGTTGCCATAGAAATAAATAATCGAGCAAACGTTAATTTAGTGACAGGAGAGAAAGTGTCAGAGTAATCCACAACATAAGTTTGGGCATAGCCTTTAACCACAAGACGAGCTTTAAGTCTAGCCACTGATTCATCAGGATTGACTTTGACTGCAAACACTCATTTACATCCAATAGCCTTTTTTCGTATAGGTATCTAAGTACCCAAGTACCATTAGCATATAAAGCGTCAATCTCCTCTAGCGCAGCATTATGCCAATTAGTATAAGATAAAGCTTCTTGAATAGTTTTCGAAAGAGTCATAGAGTCTATGGAGGCAACAAAAGAGCAAGAAGAAGAGGACACATGATCATAAGAAACAAAGGATGAAATAGGATAAGTGTATTGACGTTTACCTTTACGAAGAGCAATAGGTAGATCAAGATCATTGGACATTGGGTCCGATGTTGAAGAAGGGTTAGGTGCCGAACATGCATTAGGAGGGTTTTGTCTTCTGGAACACACCTGGCGAATAGGTGGAGGTGGTATGAGAGTAACAGGTGTAGGAGTTACATTAGTTGACTGGTACGTGAGATGATAAATCAATGGATTATCATCCTTCCCTTTACTGAAAGAAATGTAAAATGTGGGAAATAAGAGAATATGTTCCAGAAAGGTAACATCAGTTGACACAAGGTACTTGTTAAAACTCCGCAGTAGTATCAATACCCTTTTTATAGACGAAAGTAACTTAGAAAAATACATTTTAAGGATTTGGGATTAGGAAATAAGGGTTTATTGGGGGAAAAGAACACTATAAGGGGTCTCACCATGAAGAACAGATGACGGCATCCAATTAATCAAAAAACAGGCTGTGGACACTGCAATAGTCCAAAAATGTTTAGGAACATGCATTTGGAACATGAGTGCTCTAACTGTCTTAAGAAGGTGTCTATTTTTTTCTTTTAGCCACATCATTTTGAGAGGGGGTGTCAATGCACGAGGATTGATGAAGAATACCATTCTGAAGCATATAAGCTTGAAAGGAATCGAAAAAAATATTTTTTGGCATTATCACTTCTCAATGTATGTACAGAAATATTAAATTGTGTTTTAATTTCAGTGCAAAAGGCACTAAAATGAGAAAACAATCCAGAACGATTCCTCATTAAATAAAGTCAAGTCACATAAGAAAAATCATCAACAAAAGTAACAAAGTACTGAAATTCAATTTTGGACACAATAGGACAAGGACCCCAAACATCTGAATGAACTAACTTAAAATGAAAATTAGCTCTTTTATTGACTCAAGGAACTGAGGACAGATGATGATGTTTTGCAAACTAACACAACTCGCAATCTAAAGATGAGAAATTCAAAATTGAGGACATAAATTCTTCAACAAGGGTAGAGATGGATGTCCCAATCGACAATGTGTTGCAAAAAGGGTTAAGACATCTGGACACACAATAGACTTAGGTACCTAGGTATCTAGAATATAGAGACCGCATGATTCATGTTCTTTACCAATAATCTTTTTCGTCATAAGATTGTGAAAAAGATAGTAATCAATAAAAAATGAGACAATGCAGTTTAAGGTCCGAGTAAGTTTGCTCACAGACATCAAATTAAAAGACAATTGTGGTAGACTTAAGACAGAGGATAAGGAAATTAATGGGGTTGGATTAATATTTCCAGAACCAAGAACAAAAGAAGTAGAAACATTAGCTAAAGTAACATTGGAAGATGTATGCGACTGAAAACTAGAGAAGATACTAGGATTACTTGTCATATAATCTGTGACACTAGAATCAATGACCCATTTTAAGGAAGAAAAGAGGAGACATATATTAGATTTACCTGTCTCAGTAATGGCAGAGGTAAAGTGAGACGAGTTCTTTAATGCTTCTTGATACTAAGTCAATTTGGTAAATTTATCTGCAGAATTTGTAATGGTATGCTAAGAGAATAAGATGGGTGTAGTAGAAGTAGCTGCATGAGCTGAGTGAGACATCAGAGATTTATTGTGTAATTTTCGGCACGAGTATTTGGTATGACCATGCTCATGATAGTAGTAGCAAACAACTCCTTCATTATGACTTTGATTGATCTGATTACCTATACCCCAGCCTCTTGTATTACCTCTACTACTATAACTGATAAGAACACTCAAAGGTTGAACAAATGAAGCAACAGAAGCACCAGAATCTGTGCGAAGTACTATAGTAAAGGTTTCTTGTAGAGATAGAATCTCAACACTGAAGAGAACCTAGGATTTAGTTGTTTCAAACTAAGAATTAAGGCCAGATAGAAAACTCATCACAGTCATTTGCTCTCGTCGAGCTTGTTGAACTTTCACATCTGGACTAAAAGGTAACAAGACATTTAGTTCTTTGTAAGTCTTCTTGAAATTCATGAAATAAGTGTGAGGAGATTGATCTTGTTGTTCGGCACGGTAAAAACCATTGCAGACTTCATAAATACATGATGTGTTCCTTTTCCTAGAGTACATAAATTCTAAATATTCAATTAATTCCTTAACATACTCATAGTGATTAATCAAGCTGACTATCTCCATGTCAACGGAATTAAGGATTTGTAAGAATAATCGGACATCATTTCTTAGCCATGTCTGGTGAGTATTATCCATTGGTGGATCTTCAGTAAGGTGATTGTCCATAGAAATACTCCGCAAATAAACTCGAACTGGCTTACACCAATCTAAATAATTTGGACCTATCAACTTATGCTTCATGATTTTGGACATCACTAGAATGATGTCAGTCATAACTAAATTCTTTTGTTTGTCAACCATAGAAACAAATCACAAGGTCCAGCTAACAAATCAAAGCAGCAGTCCCAACAAGTAACCACCCAAAATAATAGGCCCAACCCACTTCACAAATTAATTGGACCCAATCTAGTCCAACACACAATAGCCCAACAATAACCAAATCACAAACAGAAACGACAGCCCAAATTGTGAGATGCAAGAACAACTCACTGACGATGGGGAACATGAAAAAACCAAATTGCAGGCCTCTAAAATCAGATGGAAAAC